GAAGGAAGGAAGGAAGGAAGGAAGGAAGGAAGGAAGGAAGGAAGGAAGGAAGATTAAAACTATTGTCAGCTCTGATATTAGTATAGAAATGGATACAATCTAATTCCAAGGGGTTTTTTTTTTTTGAGAGCTATGTATGCTACATAGAAAAACACCCAGCCTCCTTTCCACCGTGACGATATGCCAATAAATATTTGTGTTTTCAGATATTTGTATGTGCATGAGGTATCACAAAGGAAGTTTAAAGGGTAGCATGGAAAGATCTACACAAATTGGTGTGTGTGAGTGTTGCGGGGGGGCTGTAGCTACTGTATTTGGATAATGAATACCCCAAAGAGAAAGGTTCACAGAAACTGCTAGGCTACTATAATTCAGAAAGAATTAATTCCAGAAAAATCTGGGACTGACACCTGGAATCCAGGCAGGACTCAAGCAGAAGAGACCGAGGTTTCTCCTTGCCTTTTTTTCCCCTTAGCAAAAACAGGGAGAATAAAGGGTTCAGGATACTAGGAAGAATTGCCAGATAGCTCATTAAGATTCTCTGCAATGTAAAGCAAAGATTGTCTCAACAATGGCTCAGCTGAGAGCAGATTTTCAAAGCAGTATGGTAAGAGCCTTGGATGGCAACATATATAGAGCTTCCATCAAAACATTTACAGAGGGCTCAGGGGAGGTTCCCCCGCCATCTTATGAAGCCTTGAAACTCAACAAATAAACCGGGTATCCTCAATGAAGCACAGCGTATCTATCATTGTTCGAGGGAACCTCCAGAAACACAGTGAGGGGTTAATCCAATGGAGGTTTGTTCCCCCAAAACAAACTACTGATGGAAGAAGGTCTGCCAAGTAAAGATTTTCCTTTCATGAATTCCTACATAATGAAGGCAGCATGGTAGCCTCGTCCAAAGCAGTACAGAACAAATAATGTCTTTGGAGAGGTTAGAAATGGACTTGTTAAATGACTAGCGGGCTGGTTTTCTACATATTTATGTAATGGTAGAATTTCTGAATACATCTCTACAACAAAATTTCCATGCATACAGAAAACTAGCACTTGAGGGAGAAATTTTCAGCCCTTAAATGCTTAAAAACATTACCAATCGCCATCACCACCTGCTGTTTGTGATGGTGCACGCCTGATTTCTACTTCCAAAATCCATTACCTTAAGTTTGCAAAAGTAGGAAGATGGTTATTGGTTTTGGCTAACCTAAATGGTAAAGCCCAATTGCCTTCAGGCAATGCAAGTGTTTACAATTTATTTAAACATCAGTCAACAGAACAAAACTTAAAACTGTGCTGAGGAGCAGCAAGGGAAATTACCCACTAACATCAGGACCACATGAAAGAAAGAAAAAAAAGGTCAGTTTTGATTGTAGTGGCTTTCAGTAGTCTGAGTACTGCAACTTTAAAGAAAAACAGGCTCTTCCACACTGTTCTCAATACTTTCACTTAACTCTTATTGCCACAGTTTCCAGCAGAAATAATAATCATGGTAGTAAAAATAAGAGTAGATGTGGCACAAAGCAAATGTAAAATTACACTTCTGAAACACGGAAAGAACTGTCAAGTATATCTTTGTGAATCTCCAATGGTTTTAGGCCAGACATTTCTACTATAACTTAGCTCCACATTTGCAACACTGGACAAAAGAAGAAAATGATACCCAACCACCTCTACATCTAGCTCTAAAACCTCCTGCTTGTGCGAAAGGAGATATAACACAGCCTGTTTAGACCTGCAGCCGATACATTCAAAAGACCAATGTCTACAGGCCAGATTCACTGAAATGCCTGACTGCAGAAACGCTTCTAACAATTGCACTAGAAAATATTATTTGCCAGGTTTTTTTTAGTCGAGTTCTTAGGCTCCTAAGCAGCCGGGGATTCATTTAAACAAACAGAAATAACAAAGAGGGATACGATGTTAACGATCTCCCTGGGTTCTGGAAGGATCCCACACAGGAGACCAATACATAGAATAATACAGAACATTGATTGGCAGACACTGCCACCCACCCCCACAACCCAGACGAACATCGTAAAGAGGCACCGAGTCTCCAAAAAGTATATTCAGAAGAGGTATTTCCTGCCTCTGTGGCACAAATGTGGCAACAGCCACTTGGACAACATTCTTGGATTACCTGGGGTGCACCGGGGATTGCATCTGTCTTCACTAACCAAGCAGCAATGCCTCCGTGCTTGGGATATGAACCGATTTTTCTCCCTCTCTCTTTCTCTCCCCCTCTCTCTCCCAACACTTTCATACTGCATTGGGAGATTCTTTTTTAAAAGAAAAATCTTCCAAAAGAGAAAGGATATTTCTCCAGCTCTCCCTCCCTGTGGACTTGGAATAGTCCTCCAGTTGTCATGTACTTTTTCACTCTGGCCAGCTTAAGATGTGGCAATAATGGTAATAAACGGGACCAAGGGCTAGTAAATGACAGCAAGCCACTAGGTTTGAGTGGAAAGAGGGGCGGCGCTAGAGGCAAGCAAAGGCCTTTTGTGTTTTTTTTCAGCGGGTAACCGGGGAGAGAAAAAACGGAGGGGAAAACGTCTGAACCCAGTTCTTGAAAAGGAAAGAACGAAGAATTAAGGGATCACATTCTGACAGCCCTTGGGCAATGCATATGTATGAGTCAATAGATATTTATATTTAATAAGTATATAAAATAGGATCAAAATGAAACCAAGTAGATTTACAGATTTCAAAATAAAAGGAACCAGAAATATCACAGTACAGGAACAGCCCAAGTGCCACCATATCCCAGATGTGCACTCTGCCATGTTTACAAAAGTACTGTAGAAAAAGTGTCCCAGAGGAAGGCCAGTGATGGTCTATAATAACATTCTTCTCAACGGGGCCTTAAAAGATCTCCTCTGGTATTTCTAAACACGGGTTTTGTAATCCAATTGTTGCTCAGCTCTGCAGAATTTCCCCACAATTGCCAGCCAGGAGCTGAGGAGTACAGACGCGTGTGTGCCTCCCTCACCCAGTCTGAGGAGATTCAGTGCTGATTTCATCCTCCTCACTGGGGTGGCCTTGGAGCTCCCAACTCGACCGAACGCCTCAAGGGATGCTGAGGGATTGAGGCAACGGCTGAATTCTGATCACAGGGGACAGGTTAACTTTAAGGATCTGTTGTGCTCTCCTCCTCAGTTCGTCATCGGAAGAGCTGTCCACTTTGATGGCCTGGGATTTCAGCAGGTTGAATGCTTTCGAAGCCAGTTCTGGTTTATTAGGTGGCGGGAAAGAACTGGGCGCCTTTCTACGCGGTAACTCTTTCCCTTCATCCGCACTTCTTCTTTTCTCCCCAGATGCCTGCTGATGGCTGCCACCACTTTTCCATTCCGTTTTGGCCACTGATGGTTCCTTCATTCTGGAGGCCCCCGTGCTACAGCTCTGGGAGTTGCTCCCAGAAATCCGGCCGTTCAGGATTCCAGACGCTTTACAAGCGTAACTTTCCTGAAGGACCCCACCCTTTGGTCCTTTTATAAGGCTCATCGTGAGAGCAGCAGAGTCTGGCACTTTTCTTATTAAATGCCTGTAACCTTTGGGGTCCAACTGATTAGGGGGTATCTTGGTGGCCTTCACAGCTGAAGACTGCATAGATGCAGTGGATGCTGTGAGCCGCTTAAGATCCGAAGGAGATCTCTCCAGGTGCCCTTGCTTGCACTTTGATTCCAGACAAGAGGCAGTGGCCTTCAGTGGAACTAAGGCTTCCACCACCACTGACAGCCTCATGGCCGGATAGACGCCAGGATACATATTCGCCGGGAAGCTCATCGCTGAGGCTTTGGATGTGCCCGAACGTGTCCGTTTCAATGAGTTCAATAGGAGGTTTGTGGAGTTACCACTCTTTGACATTGGCTCAGCGGATTCTTTAGAAGAGCTCACTGTAATACCTGCCAAGGGGGCAGATACTTTTTCTATGGTTACCACGTTCCTTGCTGGAGCCTTGGCAGACTCTGAAATAGGAACAGCTGTTTCTGAAACGTCTGGAATGTTGCCTTTTGTTTGGCCAGGTGCATTGGCAGTGCAGGAGCTGTATCCATACACGTCTTTGCTCCTTAGGATTGTGGGATGGTAGCCTTCTTCTTTAAGGCCTTGGAGGAAAGCTACTAACTGGGTCTCCGTGTCGGACAGGTCCTTGGACATGGGGTTAAACACCCGGAGAGCTTCTTCCAAGGCTTTCTGTCCTGCAGAGGAGATCCTTGACCAGGAATGGACAGCTTTCTCTTCCACATTGTCCGCTTCAACATTCATGGCATTAGGCTGGCAGGAGCTTCTAGTAGATCCAAACTACTGGGAAATCAACACACAGGTCACCTTAAAGGAAAAAGAAGAAAAGGCAATTAATTCATTAAAAAAAAAAACCTCAAGAAACACTTACTTCGAAGATTTTAGGGGAGGAGAACTGTAAAGCTTTTAAAGAGACTTTTTCATTGGAACCAAACTTCACATATACTACTAGACCAGAGGTCTCCAAATTAGGCAACTTTAAGACTTGTGGACAAGTCTTAAAGTTGCCAAGTTTGGGGAACCCTGTATAAGAGCTTTTCCCCTTTCGGTTGGTTTTTTAAAATTAATTTCTGGCTTTAATTAGAAGTTATGGTGTTTACCTACACAACCCGAGACGACACTACCTAATTTTATGCCTGCTTCCACAGGATTTGTCTTTTAAGTATTAAATGCAATATATTCAGATGGTTGTTATGAAAAGGAGAGTCCTTTCTCTCTTCTTCCACGGCAGCTATGGAATTTCCCCCCTATCCTTTTGCCTGTCAAAATTTGCAGGCTTTCAGATTACTATATAAATATGGGTGGTATATAAAAAATATTTATATACCACCCATATTTATATAGTAATGTAGGGTATTTATTTAATGTAATTTCAAACGAAGATGCTCCACTGCATAAAGGGTTTATTAAATAACATTGGCAAAAGATATAGTTAGGAGTGGGTCTCCTTCCAATAATCGTAATTAAGAATTGCAATTTGTTGGTGTTGGACAACATGACTGACTGAAGTAAATCTAAGATCAAATGAAAACTCCTGAATGATTATTTATAACCAAGATAATGGAGAAAGCAAACAAATCCATGTTTCATTCTAGCTTGTGCTTATTAGCTAACTACTTAGTTGCTTGCTCCAAAGGTTCTTTTTTTCAAGAGGCAACTGGACTTTCTGGTTTTTCTTTGAAGACCAGAAAGTCCAGTTACGTCTTGAAAAATGCACCTTTGGGACAAGCATGACCAGGATGACTGAGAATCTCCAAAGATACTTGGTTGCTTGAAAGTACAAGTGAGCAAAATCTCTTACCGCTGGCATACATATATATATTCTCGTAATATTTTTAAATAACAAACGATGAAAAACAATTATTTCTTTACTGAGGGGCTTTTGTGATTAGTAGTTTTCTCCCCAGCCCCACCCCAATTCATTTCTAATTCTTGGAGACTGCCTGGGCACAAACCTCCAGTTTTTTCCCCCCAAGGTTTTTCAGAATTGCCTCCTTCCCAGGGCTGAGAGAAAGTGACTGGCCTAAAGACACCCAGCTGTTTTGGGGCCTAAAGTGGGGGGAGTCTCCTGATTTCTAGCCTGATGCCTTCAACGCTACAGCAAACTGGTTCTTGTCTTTCTCTTAAAGCTTTATAAATAAATGGTGTAAATGTTTAGTCTAATTTTAAATTCTTTCATTTTAAAAAGGTTAACTTTCTAATCCTAACGCCAGATTCATCATGGAGATGGAAGCACAAACGTTTCAACCATCAGATACAGGGGACAACAGCATGCTCCAATTGCAATCCTAATTTTTCCATTATTCTCTTAATAATTTAAGTGTGATCAGATGAAATCATCTGTCAGTTCTTGTTCTAATACTGCACTGAAAGCTCAATTCTTCAATGGTGATCTTTCATTTTGTAATTCTCCCAAACAGTACTGTAAGTTTTTCTGGAAACTTTTAAATAATGGCGCTCAGAATTAACTAAAACACTTTCCGATAAATTCATGTTATCCCTCAGTGTTCGCTCTGTTGCTCTATGTTTATACAACCTTCTGGGACGTTGTTTTTCTGATGTCCTTGTATTTTGAAGGACACTTGACCCATAAAGCTAAACATTCTGCATTTTCAACAAGGTAGACAGAAACAAAAATTACAGTAAACACTCTTAAGAAACCTAACTTGTTGAAAGACCATTTACACAGGCAGTATGTACAGTAACTCCAAACTCAGCCCATTAGCACAAACAATTCCCTTTCCAAGCCTAGAGGCATTCCCAAAACATGTTACTACAGCAGAAGTTTACAGTGGTTTCACGGGAACATTACAGTAACCTGGTTACCAGACATTTTTGCATTGTAACATCCATATGCCAAGATTATATTTGCCATTTTGGATAGGAATTTTGGAAACTTATATGGAGAGCACCAGATAAGCGAAGCTGATATATGCTAATCAATTTCAGATGTGTTCCCCTCCCCCCCCAATTCTCCTCATCTTGTACCTGAAATTTCAAGGACTAAACTGCATGCCTTCAGCATGCAAAATATGTGCTCCACCAGAGAGCTACAATTTGCTTAGCTGCAGACATTAGCAAAATAAACTAATCCTTTCCTCAGCAACATTCCAATATTTCATGGCTCTACTTTTACAGTTTTAAAGGCCTGGAAGATAAGCTACCCTGTCTTAAAATGGCAGAGTATGTACCTACATACCTTTCTTTGCAGTACAGGCAGCCATCAACTTACAACAGTTCATTTAGTGACCGTTCGAAAGTTACAACGGCACTGAAAACAGTGAGTCACGACTGATTTTCACACTTATCCCATGGTGATTTACATTCTTGACAACTGGCTCATATTTATGATGGTTGCCGTGTCGCAAAGGATGGTTGTCATGTGATCTCCTTTTGCAACCTTCTGCCAAGCAAATTTAATGGGGAAGCCAGATTCACCTAATAACCGGGTTACTAATTTAAGAACTGCAGGGATTCACTTGACAAATGCGGTGAGAAAATGCGTAGGTAGCCCAAAACTCGCCTAACAAATGTTTCGTTCAACAACGTAAGTGTTGGGCCCAATTGTGGTCATTGAGGACTACCTGTACATTTTCCAGTGACAAAAACTAACCCTCAGATGTAGAACACAAATCCCTCACTCCGTGACACTGGCCCACACAACGCTACTGCTCAACCTATTAGCTCATAGCTCATTAAAAGAGTCAACCGGGGAAACAAGGATGGATTTGCTAATCGATTTTAATAGAACAACAAGAGTTGGAAGGGACCTTAGAGGTCTACTAGTCCAATCCCCTGCTCAAAATTGAGACCCTGGCTGGGTGAGTAAGTCCATAACAATATCTTCCTCGAAAACGAGAGTTGGTGCCATGTTTTGCCGAAAATAAAACCGGGACTTATATTAATTTTTTGCTCCAAAAGATAAATTAAGGCTTATTTTCTGGGGAAATATGGTTCCAATTGTGTCCGTCTGGCTGAAGAGCATAAGTGGGGCTTATTTTGCGGGTAGGACTTATATGACGAGCTTCCTGAAAAGTCACGCTAGGGCTTATTTTCCATTTGGGTCTTATTTTGGGGGAAGCACGTTACTTAACTGGGGACCCTGAGAAAAAGAATAAAACCATTCTGTGATCATGGTTTAAGGAAAAGAAGAGCAGAAATAAAAGAGCAGAAGTCTGCACTTATTATGACCTACATGGCTTACGGCTTTTTTTTGCATTCTTGTCCCAAAACAATTGAGAGCAATTTAAAGAGTGTGTAGCAGTGCTTGAAGAAAAGTATAAGGACTAGAGGAGTGCGAACCCATACTTCAGCTCACACAAGAGGACCAACAGAGCAGCCACGACAGGAGGCAGTGTTCTATACTAGCGGTCGCCAACCGGTGGGCTGTGAGAAAATTTTGGTGGACCGCAAAGAAATATCACCCCCCAGAGCATCCCCCAAAGCAATTAATCCAGGCTGCACAGAAACCCAAGGCTGCGCCGCCCACATGGCCCGTGGGAACCCTCCCCGCCCACCCACTCCTTACCCAGCAAACTTGCCTGCTAAATTGCTATTTTTCCTTTTTCCGACCATCAGCTGTTCTGCTGTGCTGGGAGATTTAGATGAGCTAGGAAGCAGGAAATGGTTGGATTTCTTGCTTTCTAGCGAGTCTTTAGATCTTTGGCTCTGCTTTTAAGCACAGCCGAACCTCCCTTAGGACTGAAGGTTCTATTATTCAGTGCAGACTCAGATAACCAATGGCAGAAACACAGATCTCTAAGTGAATCTGTGATTCTGTGAGCAACTCAATCTGTCTGCCTGCTTTGCCTGATTTTGAGTAAAAGTTGCTCTTTTTTAAAATAAAAAATTCAATATTTATATAAATATTTATGTTTACATACATGCCATGTCCACAGTCACATGACCACCAAGCCACACCCACAAACTAGGCCATGCCCACAGAACCGGTTAGCGGTCCCTGGGATTTAAAATTATGAGTTTGGTGATCCCTGAGGTCCAAAAGGTTGGCGACCCCTGTTCTATACAGATTATTGTTGGTTGTTTGATAAAAGCCCAATGAATCAGAAGCAGAGTACATTCTATGGTGCTGGAGCCATCTTACTGCCCCCTCATGGAAGCATACTGGCTGTAGTGAATGGGCAAAGGCCATCAGGCACTTTCCTCTCCTGAATTAACTCAAAGAGTCAAAGAGTCCTTAGCACCATGATGGCGAACCTATGGCACGCATGCCAGAAGTGGCAAGAAGAGGCATCTCTGCAGGCACACAAGCCGTTGCTCTAGCTCAGTTCCACTACGCGTGTGCGTGCGCCTCCCATCAAACAGCTGATCTTGGGGTATCTGCTGCACATGCGTGGGGGTGGGCCATATGCTGGAGACGCATATGCATGAGCAGAGGGGTGGGAGGAGCACGGGAGGTGTTGCACACATGCGCAGGGGTCGCACGGGGGAGGTTGCGTGTGCATTGCATTATGGGTGTGGGCACTCATGCAGATGCACGTGCGTACTTTCGGCACGCGACAACAAAAAGGCTAGCCATCACTGCCTTAGCACCTAAGTACGCACAAGTAGGAGTGTCCGTAATGGCTACAAATGGCATAGATAGGCACAAACCTTCACCAACTCGTATTGAAAACAGAAGGAATGGAGACAAGCATCGGATAGAAGTGGATTCGTGGCCAGTTTGAAGTCCAAGAAAAAAGAAGGCAAGAAAGATACTTTCCTGGGCATGCCCAGCACAGCAGTCCCACCCTTGGAGCAGTTAACACTTTTGTGGCCAAGTCTAAAAAAGGGGGAATTCAGGGAAAAGCACCTGAGCGAAGATCAAAGAGAAAAATACACGGAAGAAGGAAACTGGGCTTGCCAAAAGACATAACCAAAGTGACTGGAAACAGCCACACATGACCTCGGTGTGTTAAGAGGAGAAACTGAAAGCTAAATAATGCTCGGGTGGGAGAAAGTATGGATGGAGCAAAGTCTTTTCCGGAACTAGAATACATTTAGGAGAAAATCTTCTAGGCAGGGAGAAGTCAGGGGATCTAGGACAGTGTTTCTCAACCTCAGCAATTTTAAGACCTGTGGATTTTAACTCTCCGAACTTCCCAGCCAGCATGAAGTCCACATGGACCTACAGTTGCTGAGATGCTGCTCTAGAGGAATGGAGCGGGTTACCTGGAAGAATCAAAACCAAACCTTGGGGGCCAGAAGTGAAACCACATGCCACATTTTGCTTCCATAGCACTTTTCGGGACGGGTATTTGAGACACCGCAACATTTTTCAATGGTGAATGCCTTATCTCCCTCCAGTGGTGGGATTCAAAAATTTTTACTACCAGTTCTATGGGCGTGGCTTGGTGGGCATGGCATGGCCTAGTGGGCATGGCAAGGGAAGGATATTGCAAAATCCCCATTCCCTCCCCCACCCCACTAACCTGCTTTCCAGCTCTGTTCTCCTGTGCGGGGCAACTAAAGAAGACCCAGCCAATCAGCTGGGACTCGGGAGGCAGAGAAGAGATGGGGATGGAGCCAGTCAGAGATAGTGTTTGCCGGTTCTCCGAACTACTCAAAATTTCCGTTACTGGTTCTCCAGAACTGGTCAGAACCTGCTGAATTATCACCTCTGCTTATCTCACCCCACTGGGTAAAGGAGAATAGACTTTGAAGAAGATAATTCAATAGGCATTAGGCAAACACCAGCAGAGCTTTGAAAGGGAAGATGAGTGCGGAAGAAACTTAAGATTGCCCCACCTTTCTTCATTTGGGTTAAAAGGAAGGGGGTGGGGAAACCTGTCAGGCTTTAAAAAATCAGGTTTAAACGCTGCAACACTAGAGTTATAGTGCAGCTTACTTCTGACCTTGACTGTCCATTTGGCTACTCAACCTAAAAGAAAGCTTTCTTTTTTCCTCTTTGGTTTTTAATACAATTCATTCTTAGAGACTGATGCTTTTGTTTTCATTTCCTCAAAAGGAAGGGGGATTGCTGCTCGTTAGTCACGGGCCACAAGTTGATAGCAATAGCACTTAGACTTATATACCACTTTATAGTGCTTTACAGCCCCCTCAAAGCGGTTTACAGAGTCAGCATATTGTCCCCAACAATTTGGGTCCTCGTGCTACAGAGCTGGCTTTCCTTTTATGAAGAAGCAAATATCATCTTCATTAACGCGCATATTTTAGAGTAAATTGCTCAAACTATGAGAGTCCAGTCTGTTGCACAAACTGGTATTAATGGGAAGGAGCTAGTCAATATGTTTCCTTCCTCCATGGAGAACCTGCACCCAAGATGAGAGTTGCAGCAAAAGAGAACAATTGGTAGAACAGAGCCCCTTCCAGCCTGTTTTGTACCTTTTCCCCCCTCAACAGAGTGTTAGGGAGAAGAGGGGAGGAGGAAAGGAGACAAGATGTGGATGGTGTGGATCTAAAAAGGAACTATTAAAAGAACTACTGTATTACAAACAACACCAATGAGGAGGAAATAATTGTGACTGAGAAAGAAGCTAAAATGGCTGCACAGAAAAGCAGGGAGATTCTCCGCAGAGAGGAAGATGTTAGAAATACAGATTAACTCAGTTTCTCAAAAGATGCTGGGAGCAATAAAAAGTGTTTAATCAAATTAATAAGCAAACAATGAGCAGGCTAGCTGCTCAACAAAAGTGACATTTTCATAAACAATGAACATAATGGTAGAATTACTTAATTACTATTTCGGACCCAACTTGTGGGCAAAGATAGTACATATTCTTCCACAAAACTGAGGTGGAGGGAGAAGCACCACTGAAGTTTGAGATTGATAGGATCCTTCAGTACTGAAAAAAACAGAACGATGTTCTTGCCAAAATGTTCGAGATATCCTAAATAATGGATTAAGTGCCAGAAGACTGGAAGAAGCAAAATTTGCCCTATCTTCAAACAGGGAACAGAAGAATGAAAGAAACCACAGGTCAGAAGACTGCTGAGTTTTAGTTTGAAATGCTTCATTTCTTCATTATTAGAATTATACTAGACAACCCATGACTTCTTGGGTTGTCATTTCAGAGACATTCGCTTACTAGATTCCTCACCTTCAAGAATGGCAAAGCTTCTAACATACTTGAAAAGTTCTTTAAAAATTCAGGGAGATATTCAGAGATATTGCCTTGGAAGTAGTAGCGCATGTTGAACTGTATTGCACAGTCCAGCATCAGCAGTTGACCACAGGAACTATTTCATGACATTTTGTGTTACGTCATAAAAGGCTTAATAATTTTAATGTTGTATTTTATAAAATTCTCCAAATTTCAATTCCATGGGAGTCATAAATTCTGGATTCTGGATACATTCAGGACGTTAGTCTGTTTGAGATACCATGGTCTCCCAGCAGTTAGTCTTCAGAGGCAATCACACTATTTGTTGTTCTTTCACAGCTAACAGAACTGTCCCCATTTAAAAATATACCAAATGTTCCATCTAAGTATTTTCTGCAATACCTGGCAGATGTTTGTTACCATATCAAATGCATTCTTGTAATCTGTAGTCTGTTATTCTTTCAGAAAAATTATGTCTCTATCAACACTCAGGAAAAGGTATGGAAGAGGAAATGGAAAGCAGAGGCTTGAAAGAGGTCATGAAATCTCATTGAGTAGTTTCTTACAAAAAAGGCTTCATAAATGGAAATAATTTTGCTTACCTTATAAGGGATTTCACAAGTTGTATCAATTAGTGTCCCATTTTGCATGTTGGATTAATCAGCTGGTATTCTTTATGGGTTTTTGGATGACAAGCTTTATAATAAGCCAATAAGCCCAAGCATCATAGCTACCTATTCTGACCACTGTGGTTCCACAACAGTTGGATGGCAACAGGTTCTCTACCTCTAAATCAGCAAGATGGTCTGGTGAGCAGCACATGCATTTAAGGATCTGCACGTGGGTTCCAAACAATAGGGAGAATGACTTCTGGGAAACTTCACTACAGAAACCTGCCTCCAAAAACAATGCCTTTATGTGTCACAGAGGATTCTGGAATACATTCCGCTTTAGGGAACACAATTTCTCTTCTCTTAGTTAGACTTCTTAAGTCTTGACACTGATCTACGTAAACCCAAAATATAATACATCCAGTACTACTCGGTCACTGCCATTTTAGAGGTCGAATAACAGTCTTAAGTTTTTCAGATAAATCTGTGCCTTAGGTCTTCACAATGAAGAACCTCGCTCAAATTAAGAGCTTTTTTTGAAACTAACAAATATTTTCTTTTGGGCTATATGAGTCCAACAGCTAGTTAGAAGATTATATTTAACAAAGAAGTAGGAGTGCTTTCAAAATGATTCAACAAGTATATATTTAAACTAACTCAGACATAGCAATCGCTTCCTGACAAATATATGATTATATTAAATGCAGAAATGAAATTACATTTCTTTATTTTGGTCACTTTTTCGATCGTTATTCCAGGTTATGTTTAGAAATCTGAAACATATGAAATATCACACCCATTCACAGTTAAATATTTTCATACTTTATGGTTAACTTATTCTGAGAAGCAAGAAATGCTTAATTTTAACTAATTTAAAAAAAAACAACCAAAAATCTGATTTAGAACTGGGTTTTAGTGCCAGGCCTCAGTTATAGATTATAAAGTTGATGCTTTGTTAAATAAACGCAAAATTTCACCTTCCAAAACTATGCAACTTCCAAATAGTAAAGCATCTTGAACTCCATAGTCCAGTCCAGCACCAGCAGTTGACGACAGGGAATGTTTTATGACATTTTGTATTATGTCATAAAACATTTAACAAACAAATAATTGGTCATTGGTCAGCACAGACAATGAGAAATTCTGGATACATATTTTTTTTATTTTAAAAAATATGTCAACTGAAACACTAGGACACAAAACAAGTGAATACATGGTAGACCCAGCAACTCAATTCAATTAGCCATTAAGGCTGAAGAAAGACTATGGAACAAAGGCACAAGGATTCACATCTACAGTTGGACAAGAGTGAATGGAAGATGGATAAGGCCACAATTTGCCACCAGCCTATGTTAAAAAAACATTAAAACATACCAGATTAAAAATAATAATATAAATTATCAGTCTATTATACTAAAAGCCTAGGAGTTCATGAATAACAATCAAAACAGATAGCTGGTTCATTGATTAAACTATTACCGGTAGGTGATTTGTTTAGCTTGGGCACACCATGTTGTGCAAACCTAGTAAAATATAATATCCAGCCAAAATATGATTAGCCCAAACATTGATTGATTGTAATGATTAAATATTCAGCCAGGTTCCATTCCCACAGGCTCAACTTTTTATTCAATCTCATGGCAATTGAGATCAGATTTGGTTTTAACAGTAACCTAGCCTAGTTCATTTTCTCCATTCTTCATGTAATATCATGTTACGAACACAGAAAACATACCAGAGTGACAACATTGCAGCATGACACAATCCTGTCATGTAATTAGGATGATCAGACACTAAGGGAGAAGAAAAATAATGACACAACGCTGTTGCACTCTCAAAGCAAAAGTGCCTCTTCCAAATACAGTGTTAGTCACTCAAAGCCAGCTGGTCCATTAATAGGCATTTGATTTTTGCACATCACATTGTAATTTTTCTATGAAATAAAAAGATGAATTAAGCAAGTATCTTGCAGGCTCTGGACACATTTGTAAAACAGAAAATGTTTCAAATAACTGCTTCAAGGATGCACAAAGCACATTATATTAAAAGGTTTTAGGAACCAACAATCTCATCCCCCAAATAAGTAACTCTAAATGACCTCTCAACACCACTCATTTAGGATTAAATGCTGGAAATAACTGTTAATCAAAAGCAACGCACTCAGTTGCCACAAATGTGAACACATATCAGGGAATACACTTTTCTTTACACAAGCAGAGTAACTTTCAAATAAACATGCATAAAATGGCTGCAATGCAGGACAACTTTAAAGTATTTTCACACAACACATTCATTACAGTTTATGCCCTGTTTGTGTATAGCTCTTAAGTTCTAGCCAGCTCCTCCTTACAACCAAAATGGCTCACTTATTAGTTTATTTTAGGCTTTGAGTAGTTGTTGTGCCAGAACTTGGGTAACAAGAAAAACAAAACTAAAAGAGCTCATTGTTTTAGCTTCACCTCTTTTAGTGGTGGGTAGATGTTTTTACAAAGACTTCAAGTGGGGAGGAGAGAGAGAGACTGTAAAAAATCAAGACAAATTATTAACCATAGTGAATATGTGATGTAAATGATCTTTTATTTAAAAAAATGGTGGCCAATAGTCACAACCCCAAGAGAAATTAAAGCTATCAAAATTTTAATGTAAAAAAATGGTTTTGGGTTTTTGCATTAATCAGTGAAAGATGTTAGGTGGTTTTGAAAGAGTGAATGATATATTAACCAAAATGAATTAAGACTTACACAATAATAAAAGGATAATTTGCCTTTTGCCAAAAACTCGCCTGATAAAATAAATTTAAGAGTTACTTTGGATGTTTTCTCAAAGACGTATACCACAAATTAACTTCATACATGTTGAATGAAAAATAAATACTTCCAATCAAAGATCCATTTTCTTTTAATTCATTCCTGGAGTTTTGCAAGATGTGGATCTCTGTTGGGATACTGAAATATATATAACCGCAACCTTCTGTTTTGCCTACTGAAGAAGTCCAACAAATGTTGTGATCACTATTCCGATTACAGCACCCTTTTTCTGTATTGGCCTTCGAAATCGCATCCGCTCTCTGTCATTCAAAGCAGCAAAAATCTTATATGTGAGATGTTATTATTCACGTGTATTCTTTGTGGCCATGAAACTTGTGTGGAAGCAAGAGAGGAAAGACTCCTATCAATTCAAGGCAAGATGTGCACCCAAGATGGTGCAAAGCCATAGTCAAAACCCTTCTGCAAAACCCAAGGACAACCCACTGTTTCCTCCAGAAGCCTTTTTTGACCCAAAAGGATGGCTCTCCCCAAAACTAATCCAGATCTTGAGGATGACAGCTCGGGGAAGGGAAGGGGAAAAGGCAGGGGGGAGGAAGGGGCTCCGTCCTGACAACTGATGGGCTCGCAAAAACCAGGCGCAGTGCTGGAGGCTTTCCCCCACCCCATCCCCGAAAACTAAAGCCAAAGTAAGCCCGGGAGAAGGAGGAGGACGATGCCAAGGCAAAAGAGGGGCGGGGTGGGGTCGAGCCAGGCGGAGGGGGAAAGCGGCTTGGGCTGGGGAAAGGGGTGTGTCGTCCGGCGGGACCCAGCGGAAGCGGCGGCCGGGGTCGACCCGCAGACCGGCCGGGAGACGACGGAGAGGCGAGGCGAGGCGAGCGCCAAGGGAGGAGCATCCCGTGGCGGAGAAGGGACGGGAGGGAGGAGAGAAGAAGGCGAGGCCGAGGAGCCCCCCCCTCCCCTCCCCCGATCCGCCACGCCTCGAGTCGAGTCCCAGCTGCAGCGCCTCCCCTCGGGGATTCGCCGCGCCCGGGTAGGCGCCAGCCCGCAACCTACCGGCCACCGCGGGACCCAGCAAAAGCCGCTGCGCCGATCCACCCCTGCAACATGGCCGGCCGCCCGCGGAGCGCCGGAAATATCAGGCCACTTCCGTTTCCGGCCGCAGGAAAAGTTCCCTAACTGCCCCCATCGGGGGACACCCTCTCCCCCCCTCCCTCCGTCCCTCTTCAGCACCTGGACAACACCTCCACCGAAGCAGCTTCGGTCCCTCCTACACGTGACAGGCCCCGCCCTTTCCACCCCACGTGTTGGCCCGCCCACCTTTGGAAGCCCCGCCCCCAAGCCCCTGCCTCAATGGCGAAGCTTCAGTCCTGCCCACCCCTTTGACCATCTTCTGTCCGCCTTCCCTGCCCATCAATCCCTTTGGTGCCTCTCTTTGTCCCTGTCTCTTACCCTCCACTCAACTCCAAAGGTTCCTCAGCCTAACAGTTTCCCTCTTTTTCTGTTCTCAAGCAAAGACTCATTTGCCAGAATGTCTTGTAGGTCTTCCTGGTATCTCCTTGCCTCTCCCACCTCATGAAGATTAGATGAAGTCTGAGGGTTTTCCAGATTGACCTAGATATGGATTCATAGGGTGGGGAATCTCCCATAAGAGTCTGTTCATGATGATGGTGATGGATGACCACGACGTGCCATCAAGTCATTCTTGACTCCTAGCAACAGTATGGATAGATTTTAACCATGACTGTTGGCCCCTAATCTGTCCTTTCAGCCCTTCCAATGGTGTCCTCATTACCTCTGCAAGATGGTAGTCATCGTCTTTCCTTCCATCTTTCCCAGCATTAAAGCTTTACAAGGGAGCTTGGTCTTTGCATGTGTCTAAAGTTGGATGGTTTGAGCACAAACATTGACGCCTTGATTGAGAACCTTGGGTTGATTTATTGAATGATCTGTTGATCCAAAGTTCAAAGTCGTCAATGTCTTCCTGTCCTGCATCTTCAAAGCCAACTTTTGCTTTACAACGAGTGGGGTGAGGAATAACATAACTTGCACAATTCTGATCTTCGTAAGTACAATAGATAAATCGTGCCGTTTGAATATCTTTTCCAAGGACCTTTGTGGCTCCTCTACCAAACGCTACTCTGTGGCAACTATCTGATGATAGTTGTGAGCTAAAACCTCAAATATTGGAATTCATCAATTCATGTCAAAGTGTTAAGCTTATTCTTGAATTCACAGTTGATTCCATATCATCCCTATGATGACTCAATACTGGTAAGTCCTTGACTTAAAACCACAATTGGAGCCATAATTTCCATTACTGAGCAAGGTAGTTGTTCAATGACTCATGCCTCAATTTATGTTCTTTTTTGCCACAGTTATTAAGCGAATCATTGCATTTGTTAAGTGAATCATGCAGACATTAGGTAAATCTGCCTTCACCCATTGATTTTGCTTGTCAGAAGCTGTCTGGGAAAGTTGCAAATGGCAATCGTATGACCCCAGGGTTCTGCAATCATCATAATCATCATAATTACATGGTTACCAACCACTCAAATGTTCATCATGTGACCGTGGGGATGCTGTGATGGTCATAGGATTGGTTGTGAGTCACCTTTTTCAGTGGAACTTCAAACAATTGCTAAACAATACTTGTAAGATGAGGACAATCTGTACTGCATTTGAGTTATTCATTTAGTAGATGCCTTCCAATATGTCCATGATGGCGAACATGTGGCACGCAGAGCCCTCTCAGCAGGCACTCGAGCCATCGCCCCAGCTCAGCTCCACCACGCATGCATGTGCACCTCCCACCAGACAGCTGATTTTCAGGTCTGCATGTGCACGCTGCAGGGTGAATGCGGAAGATACACCCTATGCCCTGTTTTGCTCCCAGGAGGCTGCAGGGAGGCTTACTAGGCCCAAAACCAGATGTATGCATACGCATACATGGGGGGGAGCAAATGGGTTCATATACGCATTATGGGTGCATTGCGTTATGGGTGCAGGCACGCGCACGTGCTGCCGCGTGTGCACATGTACACTTTTGGCGCGTGACGACAAAAAGTTTAGCCATCACTGCAATACGTTGTAACACTGCAAGCTCTAATTCCAACAAAACCTGCAGGCATCAGTTGGGCAAGGCATCCCCCAGGCTCTGGAGGCCCTCTGGAAGCTGGAAACTTCCGGAACTTCCGGGAGGGCTGCTTTTCGCCCTCCCAGAGCCTCTGCACGGCATCATCTGCATCCAAAACAGGCCATGTGGAGACTCCTGGGAGGGGAGGGGAAGGGAGGGATGAACGGGGCCAGCCGGTTGGTTCAACTACTGGTTCAGCGAAGCAGATGTAAATTTAACATCCGATTCACTTGAACTGGCCCAAACCGGTTGAATCCCATCGCTGGGTGTCGGGCGATGGAACTCATGGTGGGAGAAGATCCAAGAAGGCAAGCCTGCTGTGGTTGGTTTAGAAGCTATCCAGGCCTAAAGAGTACTTGCTAGAGCCAGCCAGGAACAACCAGGAACAGGAGGGCAGAGAATGAGCAGTCTGTATAGCCAGCTGACTAGCAGAAGCCAGTAATGCTGACTAGAAACCCTTTTACTTGCATTGTTCACCACGTGCCAAGCTGAGACTCCAATAAAGAGACCCGTTTTGCTCACAGTGCGGCCTCTTCTTTTGCTGGCTTGGCTTGGAACTGTGACAGGTATATCCAGGAATGTCCCCGATAACCACTAAAATCTTTGGCTGACCTTGGACTGATCACAGTCTTTTCAGCCTGTTTTCTTTTACAGGGTCATTGCTGAACGTATCAAATGAGGGGAGATTCTCATTCCCTTGAGCTCCAAGAAAAAAGGCAGGCTATTCGCGCAAGTGCTACTATTATACTGTATATATTTTTAGCATAAATAAAATTGATACATCAATTAACTCTGTTTTACTCAAGATCAAATGATAAAGCAGTTTTAGCCCGCAAACTTGTAGTAGAAAAACCAGGCATTCAACTTTAAATGAAAAAGTGAAGTCGGGTGGAACAATCCTTTTTCAGTGGAATCCTTCCCAAGCGGATAATTAGAATCAATATGGGTTTTGGAAAAGTACTGGAAGACCAGATGAAATAGGTGCAGAGGCATCTCAGTTAAGTCTTATCTTTTACAATTTACATGCTCAAAAGTCAGTGTACCTTTAAGGTGGTCTACTTTTCCCTCCCTCTCACTGTCATTTTGCGCAATTGGAATTATCATTAGAATCCTTGAAAGTTAAACTTCAAGAAAGAGGTGTGGCAATGGAGACTGAGTCTAATGCTCATGGATGCCTTCAAATGAGTATTTGTCACAAGTTTTATTCTTAATCCTGTATGTGTCAAATCCAGGCTCACTCACCTGTCATGGGAAAAATCATCATGTTTGACCTATGGCTTATGCATAAGCATAGTCAGTTGTTAGGCATGACTCAGAGATATTTCCTTACCAGATTCCTTAATGCCTTCAACAACCTCCAAGGAGCTGCCCTGGAAACAGCAAAGGACCAGCCCGCGGTGCCTCTGCCAGCAAAAACAGAGCTCAGGAGGGCCGCAGATTCTGTTTTCCCTGGCAGAAGGTTGCAGGAGGCCATCACAAGTGAAAATGGAGCTTGGGAGCCTGTTTTTGCTGGCCGAGTGCTCAGCACACCGCAGGCACCCCCGGCATGAGTGACATTGAGCTGGCCACGCCCCTCTGGCCACTCCCCACGGCCCTCCCGAGGTCAAACACAACCCTGATGCACCCTCAATGAAATCAAATTTGACAACCCTGTTGTAGAGGGTTATCCCACCCCATCCCATCGAAATGTTTCTAGGTTTTCTCACTACAGGTAATCCCCCAACAGTTTAGTTTTATATATTATAAAAAGATGTTGAGACTCTAAAAAAAAGTACAGAGAAGAGCAACCAGGATGATTAGGGGACTGGGAGATTAAAACATATGAAGAACAGCTACAGGAACTGGTCTAGTGAAGAGAAGGACCAGGGGAGACATGATAGCAGTGTCCCAATATTTGAGGGGCTTCCACAGAGAGGAGGGGTGGTTAAGCTATTTTCTAAAGCTCCTGTAGGCCAGACAAGGAATAAAATGGATGGAAACTGAATAAGGAGAGATTCAACTTGGAAATAAGGAGAAACTTTCTGACAGTGAGAACAATCAACTAATGGAACAGCTTTCCCTCAGAGGTTGTGGGAGCGCCATCACTTGAGACTTTCAAGAAGAGATTGGACTGCCATCTGTCAGAAATGGTGTAGGGTCTCTTGCTTGGGCGGGAGGTTGGACTAGATGACCTACAAGGTCCCTTCCAACTCTGATTATCTGTTATCTGAGGTACAAAATTATGACAGTGAGAAAGGTGTCTTGTGACTGTTTTTCAGATTTACGACCATTGCAGTAATCCCTACAGTTACGGGATCTAAATTAAGACAATTGGCAATTGGCTCTTATTTATGACGTTCCAGGGTCCTGGGGTGACATGATCCCCTTTTGCGACTTTCTGAGCTGCAAAGTCAATGGGGAAGACAGATTCACTTAACTGTGTTACTAACTTAACAGCTGCAGCGATTCTCTTAACAACTGTAACTAGAAAGGTCATAAAATGGGGCAAGACTGTCTTATGTCTCATTTAGGAAAAGAAATTTTGGGCTAAGTTGAGAACTACCTGTACAAAACAGTAGTTTTCTTGGGCAATTGTATAGAAGTATTATGTCATTACCTTGTGGATTTTTTTTCCATTTCCAAGTTTATTTTACATTATAGGGATGTATTTTTTATTGGTCTCCCATCCAAGCTGGCATAGTTTTTCCAAGATCAGTGAAGGTGGACTGCTTTAATATAACTTATTTACCTAAAAATTTGCATTTTCCACCATTGGAAATGTAACGTTAAACTGAAAAAAAGAAAAGAAAAAGCAATACATTAATGAAAAATTGAGTGTTTAATTGATTTCTCTCAAAGGAATATGATATAATACAGAGTTACTGTAGTTAAACAATAGTTAAATTAATCAACATTTAATAGAGTTTTCCTTGTAGAACATTTCCAAAAGTGATGCTAATATTAACACAAAATTAGTAGGTGATATCTTTCATATGTCTGTTTTTTTGACCTTTTGTGTACTTTGAAGAATTTTTAAAAATAGAAAGATAATAAGGAAATAAAATCTTATTTTTGTAAAAAAAAAAAAAGAGACATTGCTGCCTATAAAAACAATAGTTGACTGTAGCATCAGTTAGAATATATGGATCCCTCATGAAGTAAATGTGATGGTCTTCATTAGAGACCCAGCAGATATTCCTCCCAGTCTCTGCTCCAAAGGGATACTCATGTTCCAATTTGTGTCAGAGACTCACACAAGCCAAATGTAATATTCAAATGAGACCTGCTCTTGAATAGTTAAAGGGATCTAAGCAATGCATTGCTCTGGGTTCCCCTCCCATGATCTGTAAAAATGAAAATTTTGGAAGTTGCACTAGCAAAACATAGGGAGTGCTGATTAGAAAACAATATTGTTTTCATCCTCTATATTAATCTGAGGAAGAAGACCAGGAGACTGCCTAGTAAAAGCTAAAACCGAAAGCTCTCTGTGATGTTGGGTGCATTGTGCTTTGATCTTATAAGTAAAGATATTAAGTTTAGTCTAAAGGAAGGAAACTGAGCCTCCATTTTCACAAAGTAATATCTTTCACTGCTCCAGGGATTAAGGAAGCAATATTAAAAAGTTTAGAAATCAAATTAAAAGTCAACATGATGCATCTCAACTACTGTACCAATAAGATGATCTGTGCAAAAAAATAATAATAACAATAATACAAGAAATGCTGTTAAATACATTGGCATAAAACAATACATTACAGGTTCCGTATTCTGGTCTAAGCATTTTGCAGAAGATAATCCAACAATACCATATTAGAAGAGATGTTCTAACCTCGCCGTGCTTTCAGCTGACTTTAAGAAAGCATCTGTCCCCGGATGGTAGCAAGGGTTATGGATACTTCTTAAGCATGTGGCTAGAACCTGCCGTTGCCTCTTTATCTGGCCTTTCAGCACACGGGAGCTGGATGCACTGATGCGCATTCTGAAAAGCTTCGTCTCTCTGAAGAAAGCCCAGCTTGTGCAGCGCTTCATCCCGCATAGATCTTTGAGCACTGGACAAACGTCTCACGGAATCCTTTGCCGGTTGCTTGACAGGAGCAGAACTGTCGTGGTGGTGCAGGAAGCGTGAGCGGAGCTCCTGAACGTTGACACCTGACTTCAGTATGGTGTCAAACTTCTTTAAGTGGGTGGGGTGAGAGTTGGCTAATCTAGGAGGAAATTTGACTGGAGGATGATAAAGATCAGACCACCTCCTCAAAGCGATTTCATCACACTCCACTGAATGGGACTTGATCATTTTACTTTTAGTAACTGCTGGGCAGGCAGCAGGTTTCCATGGGGCATCTTCCCCAAATTTACTTTGTTGCGGCATGCTGCAGATGACATGATGCTGACATTGGTCCTGAGAACCTGTACATGCAAATGACATAGGGTCACATTATTAGAAATACAAAAAGGGGTGGGTGGGTTTGGAAACAGAGAGACAGAAGGTTGTTTTTAAATTATTTTCTCTATCTAGTTATGGAAAATCATTCATGTGTTACATGGTAACTGGAGTGGTTGCCGTGCTGTCCTAGCCAGTCTATGTGAATTGAATAGTTACTTAGGAATTATGAGCTGTCCCCTTAAGGGAATGCATCCTGGGAAATGTAGTTCATGTCACGTGGCCACATCTGTAATCCTGATTGGTCACTGAATTGACCTTTGGTGGGTTGGGGGAGGTTTCCTCACTCTTGTCTGGACTCATGAACTGATAGCAGCTTTTTCTACCGCTACGATGGGTTAGGAGATAACCATCTTTTATCTGCAAGGCTGATATACAAAGGATTGGTCATTAAAGAAGAACTTTGTCATAAATGTGAGTTATGAAGATACCTGATGTACCAATAAATGTACTTTGTTATGGATCTTTTGTGGAATCTATCTATTTGCATCTGCACAGCTACAAATCCACTTCTGTGCAAGAGACAGAAAAGTAAAAGATGGTTATCTCCTAATCCATCTCGTAGCGGTAGAAAAAGCTGCTATCAGTTCATGAGTCCAGGCAAGAATGAGAAAACCTCCCCCAACCCACCAAGGGTCAATTCAGTGACCAATCAGGATTACAGATGTGGCCACATGACATGAACTACATTTCCCAGGATGCATCCCCTTAAGGGGACAGCTCATAATTCCTAAGTAACTATCCAATTCCCATAGACTGGCTGGGACAGCACAGTTGCCATGTAACTCTTCTGACATGACGTTCATTAGTAAACATATGCAGCATGAGGGAAGAAAGCAGAGAAGAAACCATGATTGGAAATGTGTAACCACTGGTTTTGTTTATATATACATAGAGAGGGGTACAAATAGTCCTCAATTTACAACATAATTGAGTCTGCTATTTTGGTTATAAGTTATGATGGTTGTAATGTAGGCACCCTATGACCATGATTTTACAATCTCTTTTGCAGCAGTTGTTAAACAAACACCACAGTCGTTAAGCAAAGCTATGGAGCATTTTTTGCCAGAAACTGGAAAAACATCAGATTCTGGGGGGAAAAGGTCATATAAACCACAATCACTTGGCTGTGGAATGCTTTAAATGACCATAAATGTGTGTCAATTGACCAACTGCCCAAAATGTGGTCATGTGACCACGGTGGAGGCCTGGATGTTGGAACTTTGAATACAGATCATAAGTGGCTTTTTCAAGATGCATCATAATTTTGAACGGGCATTAAGTGACTAGTCATAAGTCAAGGAATACTTGTACATGTGCACACAACCTGCAAGACTGTATGAATGAAAAGTTACAACTACCCTTTATTAGTTTTGTCCCAACTAAATGCTGGGAAAATCCTCCACAGAATGACAAGAATAACACTGACATAGAAAGGCAGTGTATTCTCTCTTTTCGTTGGATAAAAGGTAGCAAAGGAAGAATGTAGTTGTGTTGATTGAAACAAAGTTGGCCAAATCATATTTGGGGAAAGACCAAGTTTGACATTCAAAGGCTTGGTCCACCAGCCAATTGGTTAAATGATAGGGCCCAGCGATCCATGGAAACAAACTACTATATAACTTTACCTAGAGATCCTTCCGTTTCCTCATGACGCCACTCATTGTCTTCTGAGACTTCCTTATCCAAATTATTGATTGTCTGAATCAAGAAACCCAGACATTCCTTCTCCTCCGGATTCAGTCCAGAAAGGAAATCTTCATCCTCTTCAGGATTAAGTCCCGGAATCAACTAATGGCAAAATCAGAAAATTTAATATAATAAGCCTTCTCAAAGATCACTTGTCACATACCTGGCTAGTTGCAAGATGACATATGTAGGGAAATATGGTTGTTGGAAAGTACTAACATTGGAACAGAATTTAAGCATTAGGACAACCCTCCCCATCATAATGCACTTCAGTAATATGTATTGGACTAAATATCTCATTGATGCATTGCATCAAATGATGCAAGCCACAGTCCAATACTACTGAAGAGCATCAGGTTGAAAACGACTAAGGAAAAAGTTAAAAAGTATTGGCTGGATGTTGACTCGTGATATAGTGTTACCTATAAGTTCCTTCACCCCCAATAACAAATCCAGGTCTATTCCATGTTCCCACTGTTGAAACTCTTTTGGAAAAAGTTTAAAGTGATCTTCAATTCTTCTCAACACAGTTAATCTTGAGATGTTGAGATGACTTATGAAGCCATTAGTCTTACCTCCTGTATCTTCTTACTTTGAAAAAAACCTTCCCTTTTTTCCCATTTCCTACTTCTGTCTTTTCATTTTTCACACACACAAACATACACATTTGCTTCCAGGTTGTGTCACTTGTACAATTCTGATTGTCTACGTATAGCTATAGCCCAGCATCTGAGTATCTTTCCCAAGGAATTCATGGCTATTCTACCAAGTACTGGCCTACCAAGAGTATGCCTTGAGTTGATGCAATGGAAAGAAAGAATAACCTTGAGCAACAGGAGGAAGAGCTGCTACCAAGATAGCAGTCAGGCCAGGATTCTATCGGTTCAGCCTGGTTTGAGTGAACCAGTAGTAAATAAAAAGAAAAAAGCAGCTACTGGTTCGACCAAACCGGTATTTCTTTTTTCTTTCCTCCCGATGATCAGCTGTGCCGGAATCCCCCTCACTGTCTTACTGCTTCACCCAAGAGGCTTCCCTGAGGCCTAGGAGGCAAAAAAACTGGAGAGCACCCACCCAGTCACATGGCCACTCCCACCTAGCCACTCCCACCTAGCCACACTCCAGAACTGATAGTAAAAATATTTGCATCCTACTCCTGAGTCAGGCTAAAAAGAATTCAAGGCCAGACCAGAATTGTAATTCGAGACAGCTTCTCTGATAAGACCTTTCTAATTCTCATGAAGATGAAGGAAGTGCATTTAGACTTGCATGATTTTGCTACTACAATCTTATAATGAAAATAGCATGACAAGGGTTTCCTAGTCTGGTCTACCTCAAAGGGTTGAGAATTACTGACTAATTCCTTGTTTGATTGTTTACGGCAGAAGCTATTCACCACTTGAATGTCTTCATTATCAATTCAAAGACTGATTGATAGACCTGTTGTCATTAGTCTGGTTTTCTTTCAGGGTGAGCAGAGATGAGGTCCATGCATAAAGCTTGACTCCCTACTTTCCCTAGTCTGACATGTTCCGTTGGTGGTCTGAAGGGGAGGTCTCTTTATGTTGATTTGAATACAAGGGAAGCTCTTCAGATAATCCAGTAGCTGTCAACCCTGAAGGTGACCTGACCAAAGCCATTTTGCCGCATCAGTGTTGCCACACTGGAGCTGAGGGAAAGGGAGGGGGGAATAGAGATAGCTGGGGTTTTGTAGCCAAAACAAAATGCTTTCTCTTGGGAACTAAGGACCTTCTCACACCTGGTCAGAGAGAGGAGGAGTGATGTTACCCGGAAACCAGACGGCCTCTCGATTGGACCATGTGACTGATTGTTTGGGGAAAGGGAAAAACTTATACTTTTAACTTGGTGAAAACTGCAGGAAACTTCAAACCTGGTTTTCACCAAATCTGTGCCAATATGATATATCCAATAAAGCTATTCTTTAAGGAATGTTCCTGCCTGGGAGTTTTGTTTGGAACCCTGACAGTAGCCTAATAAAGGAAAGCCTTTGATTTTGTGGATAATATATTTCATTAAAGAAAATGCAAGTAGATCTCTTGTCTGAGAGTGGGAAGCAAGAGAGTGAGGCTAGCACATGCATCCCATTCTCCAAATTGAGCCTCCAAGCATTTAGTTGAATGCTTCAATAGGTTTAATTTCTACTTCCTCACATTCACTACTGTGGCCTTGAATATTATCCTGTGCCTTCACCTCAGCCTCTCTCCCCCAGCCAGAAGAAGTCACTTGGCTGCTGCCCTTTCCTTCAGAGATCTTGTTACTGCTCATTTGAGCTTTATGCCTTATCTGTGTGGTCCTGGACACATGCAACGTCAGTACTAGCAGAACACAACTTCCAACTCAATATGCAAGAATAGGACAGTGAAGAACTGTGTCAGGAATATACATGACAAATTACAGTACCTGTCTGTTAGATTGCATACCAGAGAACTCAAAATGGGACCCAAGAAAACACTCCCTACTCCAAACAGTGCTGTAACTATTATAATTAAAATAATTATACCATAATAATTATAATAACGGACAGTTGGCTTTTATATAACTAGATATCAGTATGACTACTTAGTGATTTCTTCCCTCATAGGAAAACTCTGGGAAACCTCTTTTGTGTCAACATAGCATTCCCTAATGGACTGATTAACTGCTTTTTAAAAAATAAATAGCCATCACTTTGGTGCGCTCTGCATCCATTCCACACCATACATATAATTATCTCCGATTACCAATTTTTCATTGGGGAAAAAGCCAGCTATTATTGGACAGATAGACTATGAAAAAAATCAGATACCTGCACTTATTTATAAAAATAACTAAAGTCAGGATCTAAATTAAATAAATAAAATGTATATGGCAGCTTTCTGTCTGCTTCCTTCTAAATACTTCAGAACTGCCATTCCCAGAATTCTTTGCCTGGCAGCCTGAACACATTTGGAAGTTGTCAGTTTGGTGTAGCGGTGAAGGCACCAGGCTAAAAACCAGGAGACCATGAGTTCTAGTTGAGTTCTATGAGCCATGGTGGCACAGTGGTTAGAGTGCAGTACTGCAGGCTACTTCTGCTGACTGCCAGCTGACTGCAATTTGGCAGTTCAGATTGCAATTTGGCAGTTCAAATCTCACCAGGCTCAAGGTTGACTCACCCTTCCCATCCTTCTGAGGTCAGTAAAATGAGGGCCCAGATTGTTGCTTGCCAAGAAAACTGCATGGACTTATCCAGGCCATCACCAGGAATTAATGCTGATTCAAAAAGCCCACATACACACCAACAAAAAGTGACCATTTAGGCTAAGTTTAACTGTCCCATGGAATTGTTTGACTACAGATAATAATATTTGTATTTATTGACCAACAACTTTGAGCTCCTTGAGTCTTCATCTGAGATACCGGTAGTCCTCAACTTACAACCATAACATTTATGTTGCTAAGTGAGAAATGTGTTAAGAGAATTTTACCCCCATTTAATGACTTTTCTCACCATAGTTGTTAAGTGAATAACTGCTGATGTTAAATTAGAAACATGGTTGTTAAGTGAATCTGGTTTCTCCATTGATTTTGCTTGTCCAAAGGTGACAAAAAGGGATTACATGACTCCGGGACATGGCAACCGTCATAAATATGAGTCAGTTGTCAAGCATCCGAGGGTATATCACATGACTGTGGGGATGCTGCAATGGTCATAAGCGTGAAAAATGGTCATAAGTCACTTTTTTCAGTGCTGTTGTAACTTTGAATGGTTACTAAACTGTTGTAAAGTAAGGACTACCTGTAATTAAAGACCTCACAAACCTGCTTTATTCCATGTTAGACCATTAGTCAGCCTAGATATCATTGGATCTCTGATCGAAAGGATATTCCCAGAGGGATCTATAGTTTCTTTTAGTTGACAATGCTAGAAAATAAAGGTGAGGCTTTTTGCCTGCAAAGGCAGATACCTGTGCTACAGTCCTTTCTGAAAGGCTATGGATACACTGTGGGCTCTTATCCGACTCTTTGGTACGATATCTCAGCTCATTGAAGTAGAGAGGATATCTGGTGACGTAGCTCTGAATCTAATGTTCCTTATATTCCTCTGTTCCTTTCATGTGGAGAATTGCAGGGCAGAACTGGTTCAGGCCTCTTGTCTCTAAAACCTGTTGTATTTACATAATTATAAGTCGCCCTCAGCCTACAACCGTTTGAAGTTACAAGGGCAGTGCAAAAAATGACTATCACCCAATACTCTCTCTTACAACCATTTGGGCGCATGGCAAACCAACATATTTTGACAATGGTTACGGGGTCCTGGAGTCAGGGGGTTACCATTTGCAATTTCCCAGCACCATTTCCCAGCAGGGTTTCCCACAAGCAAAATTAATGGTTTAATGACCATGCAGTTCACTTAACAATGGCAACGATTCACTTAATAACCAAGGCAAAAAAGGTAATAAAACTAGGTATGATTCACTGAGCAAAAATCGTGCACAGCAACAAAATTGTGGACCCCCAACCATAGTCATAAGTCGAGGCCTACCTGTAACACATTCCTAGGCTAAATTTCAGGACAAAAACTCAGCAAAGACTGCTCAAGTTTCCCAAGATCAGAGTGACTTAGTTAACAGGCTTGTGATAGTAGTGTGTTGAGAGATGTACCCTCTAAGGCAGGGCTATCGAACTCCTGGCCTGCGGGCCAGATGCGTCACATGCTGCCCACGCCCACGCCTGGTTTAACGAAAGGGAAAGATGTCCCGATACGTCACGTGACATTGCCATGATGACATCTGACATCCCTGATCTAAGGTCTCTGTAATGGGAGGTGGTTAAACAAATCAAGATGGTAGCTATGACCGTGACACCAAGGCCCTGTCACTCTTTTTTATATGAACTCCCTGCCATGTGTTGAAAGGCTGGAAAATGCCTTTCTTCTAAGGATTCGGTTTTCCTGCTGGGAGTGCTCCAGTGCAAGGACACAGACAGAGACAACTGCTTGGAAGCGGGTTCCTTTAATTTTCAGGAAGGCAAGAGATAGCAAGAAGTCTGCGTTCCTGGGGCTAGCCATCTTTGTGTAATAAACTCCTGATTTTTATACCTTTTCTCCTTTTGTGTGTGAGTGCTTGTGTTTGTATTTCTTAATGTTTTAAATCCTGTCAGGGGGTTGTCTTCATTTCCGCCAGAGGGTAAACTCTGCGGGGTGGTTTGATTGGATTATCAGTTTCATCCTAATGTTTTCTTATATTTGTTTGGTGCCAATCTCCTGTCTGCTATGGAATTTATTTCGTGTCTTTTGTCTATTTGTTTTGCTGATTTGGCATGACCTTTTGTAAGGGATTTCTTTTTCTTGTTTCCCTAGCTTTCTTAATTACTTGGCTTTTGTCTAGGGGGCTTCTTTCAATACCTTTTATCAAATCTCTTTTCCTATGCAAGTTTGTTTTATGGCTGGCCTGATGTTCCCTTTGGGCTTTTCCTGCTTGGGTATCACCACTGTCCTCATGAAGTTCCCTTTCCACACATGGACGCCCTTGGACTATCCCCGTCCCCAAAATATCCAATAATATTGGATATCATTACTATCCAATAATAATGATCAGTCCTCATGAAACAGTATTTTGCAAAGGAGAACGGAAGTTCAGATGTTGCCTTTACCTGAGACGTTTCTTCTTTCGGCATCTGTTCCATTCTGTGGTGGTTCTTTCTTGCTTTCTCAGTCGACTCCATTTCCAATCCTCAGAAGAACAGGTTCATTAAATCTATAGGTTACATGACAAAAGGACTCTATGTGGATAAAAGTCCAGCAAACCCCTTCCATATTGTTGATAAGAAAACCAGATGAACATGGCTAGGAAGTCTCCAAGAGTCAACAGTTGATTCAAGAAAGAATTTGCTTTGATGTGAGGGGGAGGGGGAAAGGGGAGGGGGAGGAGAGAAGAGAAAAAGGGAGGAAAGGAAAATGGGGGAAAAGAAAGGGGAGGAATAGAAAAAAAGAAGGAAAGGAAAAAGAGGAAAGGAAAAGGAAAAGAGAAGAAGGGGAGGAAAGGAAAGGAAAAAGGGGAGGAAAGAAAAGGGGATGAAAGGATAAGGGAGAGAAAAGGAAAGAAAAAGGAGGAAAGGAAAGGAAAGAGGAGGAAAGAAAAAGAGGAAAGGAAAAGGGGAAAGGAAAAGAGGAAAGGAAAGGGGGAGGAAAGGAGAAAGGAAAGAAAGGAAAGGAAGACAAGACAAGGCAATGGCCTTCTTGAGGACTGAGAACAACTGAGCATCTGCCCTCAGTAATTCCTGAGCAGCATCCAAATTAGTGAGGATATAAATAACCCAACACATCTGAACGGTACCTGTCCAGGGAGGCCAGAGATGATGAACAAGATCAAATTAGATACAGATAGAGATAATCAGAGTCGGAAGGGACCTTGTAGGTCATCTAATCCAACCCTGCCCCCCCCCAAGCGGAAGATCCTACACCATTTCTGACAAATGACAGTCCAATCTCTTCTTGAAAGTCCCAAGTGATGGTGCTCCCACAACTTCCGAGGGCAAGCTGTTCCACTGCTTGATTGTTCTCACTGTCAGAAAGTTTCTCCTTGTTTGCAGGTTAAATCTCTCCTTGTTCAGTTTCCCTCCATTATTCCTTGTCTGGCCTACAGGAGCTTTAGAACATAGCTTGACCCCTTTCTCCCTGTGGCAGCCACTCAAATATTGGAAGACCGCTATCCTGTCTCCCCTGGTCCTTCTCTTTACTAGACTAGCCAAGCCCAGTTCCTGCAACTGTTCATATGTTTTAGCCTCCAATCCCCTAATCATCCTGGTTGCTCTTCTCTGTACTTTTTCTAGACTCTCAACATCTTTTTTATAATGTGGTGAACAAAACTGGATGCAGTACTCTAGGTGTGGTCTTACTTTGCTTTATAGAGTGGTATTAGTAGTTCCTTTGATCTTGACTGTATCCCTCTAAATACAACTTAGGCTTGCATTAACTTTTTTGGCGGCGGCTGCACACTGCTGGCTCCTATTTAGCTGCTTGTCCACTAAGACTCCAAGATCCCTCTCACAGTTACTGCTATTGAGCCTGGTTTCACCCAGTCTATATGTGTACTTTTGGTTTTTCTTGCCTAAGTGTAGGGCTTTATTTTTCTCTATATTGAATTTCATTTTATTAGATATGGCCCAGTGTTCTAGTCTGTCAAGATCCATCTGGATCTTGAGCCTATCTTCTTGGGTGTTAGCTTATTCCTGCCAGTTTAGTATCATCTGCATATTTGGTAAGTTCCCCTTCTATTCCCTCATCTAAGTCATTAATGAAGATATTGAAGAGTCCTGGGCCTAAGACGGAACCTTGTGGCACCCCACTGCTTCCTTCCCTCCATGTAGACTTAGACCCATTAAGGACTACTCGTTGAGTATGGTTTGCCAGCCAGTTGTGAATCCATCTAGTGGTGGTGATATCTATTCCACTTTTTTCTAGCTTACTAAGAAGTAGGTTGTGGTCTACTTTGTCAAATGCCTTGCTGAAATCTAAATATATTATGTCCACAGTAGTTTGCTGGTCTACTAATTTAGTCACCGTGTTGAAGAATGAAATAAGATTGGTTTGGCATGATCTGTTTTTAACAAACCCGTGCTGACTGCTATTATTACTTTACTTGTTTCTAGATGTTGGCAGATCTGTTTTTTTTATTATCTTTTCCTGTATCTTCCCGGGTATTGATGTTAGGCTGATTGGTCTATAGTTTCCTGGGTCTGTTTGTTTTTTCCTTTTTTGAAGATGGGAACCACATCAGCTCTTTTCCAGTCCTCTGGTAGTCCCCCGGTGCTCCAGGATTTTTGAAAGATATGGTGCAGTGGTTCTGAGATGACCTCTGCCAGCTCCTTTAAAACTCTGGGATGTAATCCATCAGGCCCCAGTGATTTGTTTTCATCAAGATCAGACAGGTGTTCTCTTACTATTTTTTTTGCTTATTTTAACTTTTATTTCTGGTCTGTCTTTTACAGTTATATTTTTGGAAGGTTGAGCAATAGTTTCTTTTTGCGTGAAGACAGATGCAAAGAATGAGTTAAGCAGTTCTGCTTTCTCTCTGTTGCCTGTTACTTCCTTGCCATCTTCTCTCTTTAGTGGACTGACTGCTTCCTTGATTTTTTTTCTTGTTATTTATATGTTGGAAGAAAGTTTTATTATCTTTGACTTTTGTTGCAAGTCTTTGTTCATTCTGAGTTTTTGCTATCCTGACTTCGTCTTTGCAGATTCTGGCTATCTGCTGATATTCTGCTTTAGTTGTATGTCCTTCTTTCCATTTTTTGTACTTGTCCTTTTTTTCTTTCAATTTGCCAAAGAGATCTTTGTGTAGCCATGCTGGTTTCTTCTTGTTTTGATTTCTTGTTTTTCTTTCTCAGTGGTATTGTGCTGGTCTGGGCTTCTATGATCATACTTTTTAGAGTTTCCCAACATTCTTGAGTTGTTTTCCCCTTTAGGATTTTCATACATGGAATCTTTCCCAAGTTCTCTCTGAGTTTATTGAAATCAGCTCTTTTAAAATCCAAGGCTCTGGTGTCATTATGTTCTGTTGCTTATGTTTGTGTTATGTTGAATTCTAGTATGTCACTCTCACCCAAGGTTCCTGCAGTTTCACCAAGGTTCCTGTAGTTTCAACTCCCTCTATCACTTCTTCTTTGTTTGTAAGAATTAAGTCCAGTATGGCTGTCCCTCTAGTTTCACCCTCTACCTTTAGGACAACAAAGTTGTCAGCTATGTTGGTTAGGAACTTATTTGATTTCTCATTTGGTGCAGAATTACTTTTCCAATTGATATCAGAATAATTGAAGTCTCCCATTACTATTGTTGTGTGTTTCCTGCATATGTTTGTTAGTTGGCTGGCAAAAAGGACATTTTTTCTGCTTGATTGGATGGCCTATAATATATGCCTATGGCCATGTCATTTTTTTTTCTTTTATATTGACCCATATGCATTCTAGGAGGTTTTCATCTTTGGTTTCATGCATTTCTGTAGCAATATAGTGGTCCTTTACATACAGTGCAACTCCACCTCCTCTTTTATGGGATTTTTTTTTGAATAGTTTGTATCCTTCTACCAGTATATTCCAGTCATGGGTTTCATCCCACCAAGTTTCTGTTATTCTAGCTATATCATATTTACCTTCATGTATTCGTAGTTCGAGTTCACCCTGTTTGTTCCCCAGACATTGTGCATTTGTATATAGGCACTTGAGATCTTTATGTCTGACACTGTGTTTACTGTCTACATAACCTGTGTTGTGCCTGTCTGTCCCTAATCCCAGTTCAGTTCTTTCAGAGAGACAAAACTCTTGATTCCATGAATAAAAAAAGGGAATATTCATTATTCAAAGGTATCTAATGCAGATCAGGGCTGTAAAAAAGGAGGCAGGGAGACTGCGAAGAGAGCAGAAGTAAGTCATCAAGAAATTTGGCAGTTTAATACATAAATAATATGACCCTGGTGAAGAGAGGAATTCTGGGAGGTGTAGTCCACAGATCTTAAAGTTGTCAAAGTTGAGAAATAGCAATAGTGCTTATATTCCACTTCACACTGCTCTACAGCCCTCTCTAAGCGGTTTACAGAGTCAGCCTATTGTCCCCAACAATCTGGGTCCTCATTTTACTCACCTCGAAAGGATGGGAGGCTGAGTAAACCTTGAGCCGGTAAGGATTGAACCCCTGGCAAGTCAGCCTATGTAGAAAGTTAGCACCCACCCCTCTTCCTAGAAGAATGAAATATTGTAGGAAATATTTAAAAAAGCAGAATAATATATTTCCCTGGATGAGAAAGGAGAAACATGTCTTTAAAGCAGCTTCCTGCAGCTCCCTGCCCCCCCCCCCTTCAGCTCCAGGGTGATGGGATTAAGACATGGCCCTCAGGACATGATAGGATTAGCCCTCTACCCATCTCATCACATGGCAACTGGGAAGATTACATCACCCAGCAAGATTCAACCAAGCTTGGGACTCAAGACAGCCTACCCTGCAAAGTTACCCCTGCATGGTCCCATGGGAATCTGACAACCAATCAGGATACATTTCTTTCCACAGGAACAGGAAGCAAGTTCAAAGCCCAACAGAGGGTATAAATCTCTCTCCCTCTCTCACCCATGTGCTCCATTTTGCCCAGGACTCCAAACCCCATGTGGTCCTGCTGTCCATCATCAAACCATCCTTCCAAGCAGTCTCCATGTTTCCAGTGTCTTTCTTCCCCAATTGGAACTGAACCCAGATGGACATTTCTTCCAACACCGGCAGTACTATATTTCTAACTACTCTGCCACCGCTAGATTCTCTGTTCTTGAGAACGGAGGTGATAAGGCAAGGGATCCAGAATGCACGTTTTGTGTGCTCTCATGAAAAGAAATAAGTGATTCATGGGAGAGGGCATTCTTCCTTTGGATTATAAACAATTTGCAAACAGGGATCATTTCCTTGTAGCATTCAGATTATGTCAACAAATAAAAAATCCTTCTTCTGGACATTCAACTCCTCCTCTTTAAAAAAAACAAAGCTTTCCTGTCTTCAAGCCATGCTGCTAGCTTGATAAGATCCAGTCCTCCCCCAAAAGAAGGAAGTCTTATGTAAACCAAGATCCAGATATGATGGGCTACAATACCCAAAATGCCTGCAAACATTTTTCTGCTGCGCATGCCTCTGTCTCATACAGGGGTGTCAAACTTGATTTCGTTGAGGGCCACATCAGGGTTGTGTTTGACCTTGGGGGGCTGGGGTGGGCGTGGCCAGGGTGGGCATGTGTTGGGGGTGCCTATGGTGGCCCAAATGCTCTGCCAGCACAAACAGGCTCCCGAGCTCCATTTCCACCTGCAACGGCCTCCTGCAACCTTCTGCCAGTGAAAATGGAGCTCGGGAAGACCGTGTGTGGCCCTCCCAAGGTCCATTTTTGCTGGCAGAGGCACCACGCTGTTTCCAGGGCAACCCCATGGGCCAGATCTAAGCACCCCATGAGCCAGATGTGGCCTGCCGGCCTTGAGTTTGACACCTCTGATCTAACAGGCAGCTAGAGGATCTAACAGGAGAACCCACTGTATGTAATGAGGCACAAAACATATCGCTTTATGGCTCAGGGTAGCAGACTAAACAATAAAATTGGTCCTTTTGACAATTTTTCAAGAAGCTTGGGCAATTGCTTTTTTTGACACGTAAGGGTAAAATGCTCTCAAGCTGACTTGGACTACTAATGATTCAATGAACTCAGCCATGGTATTTTTGTGGCAACAGTATGAAACCACTTGACCCTGCCTTCTTTCATATTTTAACCTTCTGGTTTATTTTAATGCCATGGAATCACTAGGTGGTCTCCCATCCAAGTTCTAGCCAGGCTGGGTTCCATGCCCAGGCATGTTCAGCTGGATGCTAGCTCCTGCTGGTACATAATCCATTGGCACCCCATTAGAAACTTACTTCTAAAGAAGAGATAGAAAAGAGATGACAAACAATTGCACTGTGTAAAACTTACACATTCAAATCATTAAAAAAAAAAAACAGCAGGAAACACACTATAACTACAACAGCTGCTGCTGAGGGAATAACAACAATACATCTACCACAAATCCACAATGTTTCTCAATCTTCGCAGCTTGAAGATGTGTGGGCTTCAACTCCCAGAATTCTCAGCCAGCCTGTTTTCTGGGGAATTCAACCCTTTCAAAACTTCCAAGGCTGAGAAACCCTGATCTAATGCTGGAGAGAAGAGAGTGCAAAATGGCATGGCTGCCTTCGCACAACATAACAAACCTCATGGTGGCCTTGGGTGTCTCAGGCTTCATCCATAACAAGAACGAACCACTTTAGCTAGCTTACCAGAAACCAACAAACTTCAAATAAGTACCATTTCTTGAAGAAAACTAGAAGCCATATCAGCAATCTCAACACCTGATGTAACTCAAAAACAAATTGAGAACAACCTATAACAATCTATAAAGCCTGTAAATAAATATTAGTCAACCAATATGGAGAAACCATGTTCAAACCCTCATGTATTTAGCTTTTTTTAAATAAAAAAAAACTTCCAATCCTACAGAAATTTTTTTTGGCTCCAATCCAATGCCTGGGCTGCTCTGCTCCATTGTTCCATTGTTTTTGTAATTATCCAATTGGCTGTGTGCCAGTTAATCCTGACTCACCGTAAGGCAACCTGTGAGTGTATGACTCGAATCCAGGACAAGATAATTTAACGGAGCAAACCTGAACAGTTTGAGACCAGTTGGCACATTAATAGTTCAGAAGCACATTGAAGGCACTCAAGAACATGGTTGCCATTCAGGAGGGCTTGCCCATGGACCAAAGACACTATATTTGCAAGGATATGGCCAGGCACAAAATATTTGGGCAAATTTCCTTGCCACATTTTCTAACCTCTTAGGGTATTATCTATCAACTCTCAGCCTACCTCCGTCTTTTGTTCAAGCTACAGGCCCCTGCCCCACCATCTTAATTTCCCAACAATAAGCCACTGAGGCTTATGCTGAATCAAGAGAAATAAACTTCATAGTGGAGGCAGACAGGTTCCTTCACAACATACAGCATGTCTTTCCTTTCCATACCGAAGCTCAGAATCTTAAAAATAATACAAAATGGAATGAGGCCAGGGCCATCTGGGTTTCAAGGGTTTTATCTATGAGAGTTCAAAGGAAATCCAGATGGTGGCCCTTTGAACCCCTTCTCTGCATAGCAACCACGGGAAAATGTGGCTGCCATCTTGACTTTTTTTAACCCCACCCCACCCTTTATGGCTATTTGCATACCCTGGAAACTTAAGGGTAGGCATTTTATGAAAAGAAGCTTCCAAGACTGGATGCCAACTGAAACTGAATTAAGAAGGAATTTTAAAAATGAAATACCTGGATCAAAAACACCTTTTAATTACTACATGGAGAATTACTAGAAATGTAGTCTCAGCAAGAGTGTTCTCACATTTAATGAATAATAATTTTTGGATAAAATTCTAGCCTCAGTTATATCTTTATTAAAGTTGTCTGCCACCCAACTCTCACAGACTCTGGCCAGTTCACATGAACAAGAAAAAAGCCTCTAGATTTCTATATTCTAAGCTATAGTCTATGGAGCATATGTATGTTTGAAAGCTGAGATGGGCAACATATGAGTTCAATAAATCTATATTCTATACATTATAATGACCTATATATCTATAGGTCATTCTAAACACCTTGAAATTTAGCTTGTTTTGCATTCATTCCTGCCCCTTTGCTCCTTCAATTTGCAAATATGCTTAATTCACATTTTCAACTTAAAATTATTGGAAAAAATGTCCTCCCTGTGGCATAAACAATTTTGCCCTAAATAACTAGCAGAAAAGCCTTTATCAGTAATTTCCTCTTTGCCTGGAGAGCAGAATTATTGAGTAGCTGAACCATATGGAAACATTGGCTCCAGGATAAGAGTACCAGATCTAGAAGTTGGTAGCCCTGTACTTTTCAAGAAATTAAATATTTACATCCCAGTATTTAAGATGTTACACCTCAGCTTTTTAGAATGAGCTCCTGTAGGAAAAAAAAATTAAGTGAAACTTTTTGCAGGAATGTAAAAATGGGAACTGTGTGAGCCAACACCCACTTTTAAATAGGGTTTGTTGTGATCCCACAGCCAGTTACCCGGGAACAAGACCCACTACTAGACTGTATAAAAACTCTTGAAGTAGGCACACCACTTTCAGTACAGTAGTATTTAAAAACAAATCTCCTTAAAAATAACACGGAAACAAAATGAAGCAGTCCTTATTGCTAGCCAAAAGTTGAAAAGCAAAAAAAATGAGCAGAGCAAAGCAAAACAGAATTGCCTGGAGGTGGGGTGGTAGAGAGAGAGACCCTGATCTTTCTGGAAGGATAAGCTTTCTGCTGTACCTTTCACGGTCCCATGGAGGAAGCAAATTAAATTTCCTTAAACTCCACCTTTTTATAACACCTGTTTCTACACTTCGGGAGCATTTAAGCAATTTGAAATCGGTCTCAATAATCCCCTGGGACAGTGGCAGTGACAGCTTTCAAAGTCAGAGATGCTGCACCTGGAGAAGAGGAAGTTAGTTGACTCACCTGGTAGCAATCAGGCTAAAAAGTGTTTCAGGAGCCAGCATGTGAAATATATTGTACTGTGAACCTGCTCTGTGTATGATAAATACTCGAGGTGTTTTGTTTGCTTTAGTACATTAAAAAAAAAACCTGTTGCCTTGACACAGCTCCCTGGCCTGCGGCTCTAGCGTGTTTGAATTTGATCATAACTTCCTCATTCACTTGACCACAGCTCTCATCAAGGCTACCTGGATGGAACTGAGTCTCAGTGCATTAAACCAGAGCATATTGAGGTATTTAGGGTGGGGCTGAGAAGTCTAGTTGATATTTGTGGAGTATATTGGAGGGTACACTCAAAAAAGAAGAGGGGGCTACAACAACAAAAGTAGACAAACTCCAGGTAATATGGTAAATACAGTGGGCTGTATTCATATGGATGTATGTTAGGTAGAGTAGAATAGAATAAACTTTTTGCTGCTATTTAATAGTTTTATAGCCCAAATGAAATACACCTTCCTGTTAGTATCTTTGTTAGTATCTTTGGAGACTAGCTATTTTCTAAAGCAGAGGTCGCCAATCTTTTGGACCTCAGGGACCACCAAACTCATAATTTTAAATCCTGCGGACCAGAGACCCTTGGAAAATCCCCCCAAAAGTCTGCAGGACCCCACCCCATTTTCCTACCAATTGAACGTTTTTATTTGGGATCGCAGGATACCATCTCCAGCTCTGTTCTCAGTGGGAGAGAGAGAGAGACTTTTAGCTTCATGCAAGGAAAGCAACAGAAGCAGCAGAAGTCTTTCTTTTTCTCCCCCAAAATCCACCAGAAATGAGTCTTTGTGAGACTTGTTGTACTGGCGGAGCTTCTTGGAGCAGGATGCCTTGCAGGGTCCCAAAGATTCATTTCTGGTAGAGTTTGGAGGAGAGAAAGAAAGACTTTTGCTGCTTTCCTTGTGTGCAGCCAAAAGTAGAAAAAGAAAGAAGCAGCAAAGTGGCCAGGCTACTTGTGTGGGGCAAGTGGGGCAAGTTCGCCCCCTCAACCCTTTCCCCGCTCCCCTCACTACCTCGTGTTGTTCGCAATGCAAGCGATGCAAGCCTTGTGTTCCCACGGGCCATGTGGATGGCGCAGCCTTGTATTCCTGTGCAGCCTGGATTAATTGCTTTGGGGATGACATTTCTCTGCAGACCACCAAAATTTTCTCGCGGACCACCAGTGGTCCCCGGCCCACTGGTTGGCGACCACTGCTCTAAAGCACTTGAAGGCCAGACAAGGAATAATGGATGGAAACTGAACAAGGAGAGATTTAACCTGGAAATAAGGAGAAACTGAGAACAATCAACCAATGGGACAGCTTTTCCTTTGGAAGTTGTGGGAGCATCATCACTTGAGACTTTCAAGAAGAGATTGGACTGCCATTTGTCAGAAGTGGTGTAGGGTCTCCCACTTGGGTGGGGGGTTGGACTAGATGACCTACAAGGTCCCTTCTGACTCTGATTACCTGTTATCTGTTATGCGGAACCATCACTTAGGAGAGCCCCACCCTCCTTCATTTTATTAGTTTGATTATATTTTTTTAATGAGGCTTTTGTATGAATTTCCTTATTGGACAAATGAAAACTTATGTGATGGGCAGGTTTCAAATACAAGCCTTACAAGAATCATGAGCCCTGGAGCCTTTTTCTGTAAAATGGTATAAAGTTACTATTTCTTTCTTTTTCCTTTTATTTTTCAGATGATTGGTTGGTGAGAGCAGGAATGTAGTATTTGCCAGAAACAATCCAAATGTTGCTGAGAAAGCACATTTAATTTGCCTGCAAAATATTGAGGTGTATACAGGTAGTTCTTGCTTTATAACAATTCGTTTAGTGACCTTTTGAAGTTACAATAGCACTGAAAAGAGTGACTTATTACCATTTTTCAGACTTATGACCATTGCAGCATCTCCACAGTCACATGGTTTACATTCGGATGCTTGATAACTGACTCACATTTATGACGGTTGCCATGTCCCAGAGTCATGTAATCCCCCTTTGCAACCTTCTGACAAGGAAAATCAATGGGGAAGCCAGATTCACTTAACAATCATGTTACTAATTTAACAACTCCAGTGATTCACTTAACAACTGTGGCAAGAAAAGTCATAAAATGGGACAAAATTAATTTAACAAATTTCTCACTTAGCAATGTACATTCTGGGCTCAGTTGTGGTTGTAAGTTGAGGACTACCTGTATTACCTAAATTATACTGTATCAAGTAATGCTCTGCTGTCCCAGCCAGTCTATTAGAATTGGATAGTTACTTAGGAATTATGAGCTGTCCCCTTAAGGGAATGCATCTTGGTAAATGTAGTTAAAGGTATCCTGGGAAATGTAGTTCATGGTCACATTTGCAATCTTGATTGGTCACTAAATTGACCCTCGAAGGGTGGGGGAGGTTTTCCTCACTTTTGCCTGAACTCTCTAACTCATGGCAGCTTCTTTCTATTGCTACGAGATGGTTTGGAGATAACCATCTTTTACTACAAGGCAGATATACAAAGGATTGGTCATTAAAGAAGAACTTCGTCACAAACATGAGTTATGAGGATACCTGATGAACCAATAAATGTAATTTGTTATGGACGTCTTGTTGAGTTATCTATCTGCATCTGTACAGCTTCAAATCCACCTCTGTGCAGAAAGCAGAAAAGATGCACTGAGTTATCATGCATGCAGTATTATTATTGCTTGCAGTAGTGTGGCTTCTAATTTTGATAGTAAGAAACAATGGGTTCTTCCTACTTCTGACAGATGGTAGATCTAAGCTACTTTCCTCTAACTGGTGCCTTCAAGATGTTATATATTTCCATCCACATCTTAGAATTCTGCAAACTGGATGCACTGGGGATGTGCAAATCTTGGGATATCTCATGGCTGGTGTAAACAGAACGAAATAAGGAAATTATAAAGGAACAGAATAGACCACATCTCATCAGACTGCACAAAGGGGAATTGTTTTGGAATTGACCCTTACATTTATTGATCTGTAAATTAGATTTATAATCTGAGTTCTTAGATTCTTTTTCCCCCAAGAGAGAAAATTAGTACATCAAGATATAACTTTGGCTAGAATTTTATCCATGACGAATTGATTTTCAATGTGCAAGGAGCAACTTGAACAAAAGCGTACTTAATTTACTCAAGGGTTGTGACCAAATTGAGGAAATGAGCTCAGTTTCTGCAAATAGGCAGTTGTCACAAAAAACAAGGAAATAAGTGGGGGGTTAGGAAGTGAAGGCATCATAAATACTCCAGGGCAGATCAAAGCAAAGAGGGACAAAGATCAGGGGATGAGATGAAAAGGCTCCAAAAGGCAGGGAGCCTGCAAGGAAATCTGGAGTCTTTTGGGGTGTGTGTGTGTATGTGTGTGTGTGTGTGTTTGTTTGTTTGTTGGGGAAGTCACTCATAGAGGAGAAGAAACAAAATTTGAACAAGTAAACCTGAGAAGTAAAAAAAAAAGGAGCCAGAGATTTTAAAGTTAGACATAAAGATGACCTGAGAAAAAAGACAGAAAGGAGTTTGATTTATGGTGAGGTAGACAGGGGTGGGCTGCTGGGGGTTTGCAGGGGAGAGCCCCTAGCTAAGATTCTGTGCAATTCGGAGAAACCCCAAATCCCACTCCTGGCTGGTCCCTCCCACCCCTCCCCTCCCGGGAGTCCCCACATGGCCTGTTTTGGATGCAAGTAAGTGCAGGGTGTGCGCAAAGACTCGGGGATGGCGAAAAATGGGCCTCACGGAAGTTCAGGAAGGCCGGAAATGAGCCTGTTTCTGGCTTCCAGAGAGCCTCTGGAGCCTGGGGAGGCTGTTTTCGCCCTCCTGGAGGCTTGAGGAAAACCTCTGGAGCCTGCGGGGGGGGGGCGGGGGCAAAAACACCCCCCTCCCCCACTGTGCAAGGGCCAGACTAGGCTACACCCACCATGACCACACCCATCCAGCAACCCGACAGAGAACCCTTTGCTAAAATGTTTGAAGCCCACCCCTGGGCAGTCAGCTTCAGAAGCCAAAAGGGAGTTAAGAGAGAGAGAGAGAGAAAAGTTTTCTCCCCGTGCTTTGCCTGCCTACAATTTGGGTTGGAAGGAAATCCTCCTTTCAACCCAAATTGTATACAGAGTGGGCAAATGTCGCTTAGGAGGGCAGTCTCACCCAGTTGTCAGCAGGAGAGAAGACTGAGGCCAAGGGAATGAAAAGTTTGCCCAATCCGTATCTAATGGCTGGACCCAGCAATGATAGCAGAGTATGCTATTTTTATCCTGTCTTTATTATTATTTACAAATAACTCAAGGAGCCAAACAGCAATACTTCCTCCTCCTCCTCCTCCTGTTTTTCCCACAATAAAGGTGCTTTTTCAAGAGGCAACTGGACTTCGTTTTTCCTTTGAAGATGTTTTGCTTCTCAGAGCTGAAGAAATTCAGCTCTGACTGGATGGTGGGGAATGGAAGGATTTATATTCCTTGCAGAAAGCTGGCCATTTTCATCCTTTTAGAGGGTCGTTGAAGCACTTGTAGCTGTTTAGCTTGAAGAAGTTTCTTGGAAGAGAAGCAAAACATCTTCAAAGAAAATACAAGAAAATCCAATTGCCTCCTGAAAAAGCACCTTTGGGGACAACTATGACCTGGTAGATGACTCTAATCGATTTTAACAGAATAACAGAGGTGGAAGGGACCTTGGAGGTCTTTCTAGTCCAATCCACTGCTCGAGTATGAGACCCTGGCTTGGTGGGTAAGTCCATAACAATATACATTTTCCCCAAGACTTTTAGCTATACAATTTGGGATAACCAGCCTTTGAATGGTGTTGGAACAGGAATGGATTTCCAGAGAAGAATTGCAGTCGACAGGAACCAGGAGCACCACTACTATTTTTATCCTGTTTTTGTTATTGCTTATTTATAATAAATAATAGTTGCTTCCTGAAAAAAGGACCTTTGGGAAAGCGAAGATTATGGCGCTTAATGTAGGTTTGCCAATCGAAGAGACTCAAAGAGAGCAAACACCCTCCTCCGGTCAAGAGAGG